CTCTCTCTCTCTCTCTCTCTCTCGTTGCGGCTGGCCTCTTGGTACTGCGCCCTCCATAGGATGAGCAAAATCGAATGAATCTGGTGCTACAGCGTGGGAACACTGCCATACTTTTTTTCGTTTTTTTTTTTTCGTTTTTTTTTTCGTTTTTTTTTTTTCCCGTTTTTTTCGTTCGTCTCACTCCGACGTTCGGGATGCCTGCGTCGGGTAGGCCGAGCCTCAGCATGGATCGGCGTACCGGTCGGCCGAGGCTCGGACTCGATAGCTGGGCCAGGTACTGGTGGTTTAAAGCTTTCCATGAATAGCAAGCCATGCTGTTGACAACAACAGACAGGGGATTGTTTAGGGCACACTCACACTAGGTCTTTCTCGACTGTCCAGGAAGTTCCAGTGTGAGGATGCCATGGTATGATTCCTAGTTGGTGTGCGTCATGAATGCTTGATGGTAACTTAATGAGCTTGTTTCTCTGGAGTGCATTCCTCGAACCACTGCTGGCCCTGAAGCAAAGTAACCGAACCGGTGCATTTTCCTGAGCCTGGAGGGCTGAGCCAAAAAGTCTTGGCCCTATAGTTAGCTGCAGGGAGCAAAAGTATATGGACTTTTGCTGCAAGAAAATATCAAGTGCAAAATAGTCGAAGTCTATCTAGTATGTACTCAAGATTTTATGCACTGCCGCTGACCTCCCTCTGTGGCTGGTAGGTCGACCCGTCCCATGGCTAGTGTGTACATTGCTATAACCATTGGGATGTGCTGGGGCGGATGGTGATGCAATGGTTGAGGCAGGGAGATGAGTGTGAAGATTGCAATTGTTGGACTCTGTGAATTGTCCTTGATGTTCTCAGCCTGACAGCAATGGCACCTATTCTTTGTACTGTTGACAATAAGAGAGCACGTTGGAATGAAGTGTTGCTTATTCATTAAAAGATATTGGCTGAATGACACCAATTGCTTTCAGTCGTGATTGTGTACTGGATTTTGATTGACTAAATTGGAGAATGCCTGGGCATGTTAAGTGCTTTCAATATCACAAGAGACATGTGGCTGGTGAACAGCACAACCCCTATTCCCACCACACAACCCCTATTCCTGTAGACTTTCTGCACATTTAGTTTGGAGGTAGTACGTGGGCTCAGTATGAAGAGTTTGTGCTTTGTGTTGATACTGGTTTTCTTAGATGCAAGGCATGTCTTCTCAGAAGACCAGACAGCATGGGATTCTGGCTCATTGATTCGGTCCTCGTACTGCTCCAGTCCTGAGGAGGGCTTTGCTTGTGATGGCCAGCTTCACGGGGAGATAGTTATCATCAAAGGTTTGTGCCAGGTTGACACAGCTGAACTGGAATTGCATTGTGTAACTTTGTTGATATTTTGGCTTCATGTCTGTATGTTGATCCTGCATTCCCAGTAGTTCGGATTAGCTTGACGCACCTCTATAAATCCGTAAGGCATTGTGTGGACATTTTTTCATCTGCCTGGAATCTCTGGATGTGTTTTGCTAGCGGAGGAAAAATCAGAAGAAACTGCTACATGTGTGTAGTGGGACATGCAGACTTGACTTTACAGCCTATCCTACACGCGATTGAAATCCCCAATTGTGAGATGGTGAAGTCAGGGCTGTCACACTGCTAAGGGCATGAACCTGTTGCACCCTACTGCTCCTGGCTGGAAGAATGAACCAGCCATGTGCGTACTCTGCCCCTCACAGAAGTTTTGGCAAGGCCATGAAGTGCTGTGTGGAGGCAGCTAGGAAAAAAGGGAGAGGTAGGCCCTCCTGGATGGGCCATGGATGACTTTACAGCCTATCCTACACGCGATTGAAATCCCCAATTGTGAGATGGTGAAGTCAGGGCTGTCACACTGCTAAGGGCATTAACCTGTTGCACCCTACTGCTCCTGGCTGGAAGAATAAACCAGCCATGTGCATACTCTGCCCCTCACAGAAGTTTTGGCAAGGCCATGAAGTGCTGTGTGGAGGCAGCTAGGAAAAAAAGGAGAGGTAGGCCCTCCTGGATGGGCCATGGATGGTCTACTGGCATTCATTTTTTTCTTGGCTACTCACCGATTGCCCAGCCCTGCAATGTTCCTTTGGGTGCCACTGGAGGGGGTATCGGCCCCTTGGAAATGTTTGTTTTGGTCGGAGTGCTGGCGAACGAAGAAATCATCAAGGGCCACATACATGTATGTCTGCACGCGCGTTGTCGGAGGGCGCGGTGTCCCGACCCTCCGCTGCGCACCAGGCGATTGTTCATCTACCTTCGCTGTGTACCAGGCGTCTGCTCACACACCTCTGCAGCGCGCCAAGTCTTCTAGCCTACAGATCAGGCAGGCTTAGTACCCTGCCGTGCAGCAAAGCCTGCGGCCGGGTCCACCCAGGTTACGAGATGCATACAGCGTGCAGCAGTCACTGTCGAGGCAAAGGAAGGGCTGAGGAAGCCTCCGCAGGTACCGGCATACTGTGTTTTCTCGACCCCTGTATCATACCAGGCACGCCCGCTTTTCAGTAGTGTGCCAAAACTCGCCAAGGCTTGTTCCCGGACTGGCCCAATAGGCGCTCCCACAGAAAAGGCACGGAGTGTGCCACAGGGACTCTCCATCGGCTTGCTCAGGCTCGGTGATCTGCAGTGCTGCGGAGCACTACCGCTCCGTGGTTGCCGTCGTCCAGCGAGGGTAGTGAAACCGGCGCGGTGTTCTCTATTGTGCACTAATTCCCTTTTGCCAGATTAAGGGTAGTGTGCATAGGCTAGGCGGACGCAGCGGAGTAAGGAGTGAAAGCAAGAAAAAGAAAAAGTGAAAAATTTAAAGAAAAGGAAAGGGAAAAAGAGGGAGAATCCCATAACGAGTCCACGCCCTGGATCGAATCGTTACTTTTATTTGAATTATCTGGGTGTTGTTGGGCTGCAGCGGCGCTACGTTTCCCTTTTCTTTCTTTTCCCCTTACTACTATTATTGTTGTTATTATTATTCTTTCCTTCAGTTGATTTCCTCCTTTCTGTCACTTCGCAGGGGACCTAACGGTCCACTTTTGAATCGTAACTGCGAATCGGCGGTCTGGGCTGATCTGGCCTTTCACGTCCCGCTCTGTTACTGACGTGACTAGTTGAGCACCGCATGGTAGGACCCCAAAATTGCAGGAGGACGAAAGATTGCAGAATTGAAATCCCTACATATATAACTATCGCTAATTTTCGGCCTGTGACAAGCAGACGATAGAGGCCTGCGATTTTACACTCCACGATGGTCCAGATCGTCTGCTGATCGTTTGCTCTTAGAAGTTGAACCGTCGCGGGTGGCTCTTCGCCAGGGCCTGTACCGGGCCCACGCGCCTGCGCCGGTACCAAAGCGTGTTACCGGCCCTACCACACGCGGTACCGGGGTTGCGTGTGACGCGCTACCAGTCCAGCGCCACTACAACGTATAGAAACTACTTTCTGGGGCACGAGCACTGCTGACCTGAGGGCAGGTGTACTGGATGGCGAGTTAGAGTCGACGCCTGTTCGACACTCTAAGCTACTCGACTGAGCTACTCTGCGCTACCATGTGCTACTCTAGAGTTGACGTCGGCGCTACTTAGAGTCGACGCCTGTTTTCGACACTCAAGCTACTCGACTGAGCTACTCTACACTACGCTGTGCTACTCAAGAGTCGACGCCGGCGCTACTCTAGAGTCGACGCCTGTTTTCGACACTCAAGCTAGTCGACTGACTTCTATGCTGCTATGCACGACTACGACTTGCTCTACGTTGGACACACGTGCACTCGCACACGCACACACGCACGCGCACACACACACACGCACTCACGCACACACGCACGCACGGATGCACACACGCACTCACGCACACACACACACACACACACACACACACACACACACACACACACACACACACACACACACACGCGCGCGCAACCGTGGTGAGTCCTTGGCCATCAGTACATTTCATCTTGGGCGGACTGTCGGGGTTCAACCTCCTGATGAGTCGGTGGAAGTCCAACGAAACAGTCTGGCTGAGTCATTTTGTGAGTTCTGTATAGCGAACATAACAACACTCTCGCATACTCACTCACCCACACAAAACACCCACACCCACACCCACACCCACTCACACACACACTCACACACACACACACACTCACACACACTCACCCAGGGCACACCATCGCTACATCCTGAATGTTGGACGCTGAGGCTTGAGCTGTGCGGCGTTAAGGCTTTCGAACGACCGCACCTTGATGACTGACGGTGAGTTTGTTATTCGTGTCTGCTACTTTCATTCTTTGTGGTCTTGGAACTATGAGTGAGAGAGAGTGCGTATGTGTCCGCGCGCGCGCGCGTGTGTGTGTGTGTGTGTGTGTGTGTATGTGTGTGTGTGTGTGTGTGTGTGTGTGTGTGTGAGAGAGAGAGAGAGAGAGAGAGAG